TTTCAGGGAGTGAAATACTCACGTATGCTCACAGAATTGGTATATTCTCCAGACATCCTGCACAGGGAGAAAAGCACAGGTAAATTTCCTCCACATGGAATCCAAGTTACGCTCACCCCAGCCTGGAATCATCAGCCAGGCTACTGCGGCCTCCACAAGCCCTCTAGCTGGCCAGGTGGCATGAAGTGCACCTGTGTGACTCTAGGCACCTCTCTTTCCCTCCTCATCTGCTCTTTCCCCTTCAGAGATGTGCGAATTTCAACCCTGGAGCCCCCCCGCCCCGCCGCCACCATGGCAACACCACCTCCCAGGGGCCCTCCTGCCATGCTTCTCTTCAGCCCATTTCTTCAGCCCTGTGGGGCTACTGACTGAATAAATACACGTGTAGAAACGTGTATCAGGAGTTGCCGCTAAGGAACCAACTGTATGATTTTAGGACCAATAACTTCTCCTCTCTGGGTCTCATTTATAAAATGGTGCTAGGTTAGAACAGGGTTTTTCAAATGTCAGTGCTTCATGTACCACCCTTCCAATTGTTGCTACGACCACGTATAACTCATATTCTTATATATTTAGTATTTTCCATTGATCCTGCCTTTTATAATAAAAAATGCATTTCTCTTAAAAGGAAGTCTTATATCACCAGGGTAAACAGAAAACCAGTATTGCTGGACCAAAAAAGACAAAAAATGTAGCAGTAAAAATAATATAATGAATGAAACAATTTTTTTTTAATTTTGGCTAGATGTTTTTGTCTGCCCAGAGGCTGTGAAGCTGAGATCTACCATCTCTTTACTAACAGGGACATTTGCAAGTGTCAGGGCAGCAGTGTTAAAGATACAACAGCACTAAAAAAAAAAAAAAAAAAAAAAAAAAAAAAAAAAAAAAAAAAAAATACAGCAGCACTACACTGAAACTTTCTCCCTATCATAGTCTGAAGACTGGAAAGAGAACCTTAAAGGATATCATAGTCTGATTATCTGACCAGATTCTGTATAAGGCTGCGTTTGTGGGTGACCGGAAAAAGCATCTCCAGCC